CACAGCTCTAAAACAGACCATAAAATTTGTAGCTACCATGCAAAAATGACCCCAAAAAAATTAGTGATATGGGGGAGGCAAGGTATGGGGTTGTGGACCCCCTGGGTCAGTTCCACAGACCCCTGATGGGGAACCACTGCCCTAGTTAGTTTGCTTGAACAGCAAACTAGTAAATGCAGATGGTTAAAATAATTTTTGCTTAATATATTTGTGATAAAAGAAGATGTATACAGAGAGAAGAGGGTCAGAAAAAGAAGACACCTGTGGGGGAGACAGGCCAGAGTGGTTTTTCTCATGGTGGGAGGCTGAGAAAAGGGGAGGGCTTTACTAGCTGAGAGCTGCTAAGACTCATTTCTTTGCATGGGAATTGAAGATCAAGATAGAATGGTGATAGAAGCTATATAGATATTACTTTTTCTTTTTTCCCCTTCTCTTTCTCCCCCTTTTTCTTGCTCTTCTGTTTCTCTCTCTCTCTCTCTTTGTAGTATTTTCTTTATTATTTTGTATTCAATTCATTCCATTATTATTGTATTATATGTTGCAAAATTTTAATAATTTTTTTATATAGTATTTGAAAAAGATGGATTGACAGAACGTTGAATCTGATTGATGGAGGTAAAAAAAAGGAGATGACGGATGAGGTGAAAAAGCAAAGCCCTCTAGAGAGTAGCTCATAATGGCAGAGAACATGGCCAGAGGTTCTTTACAAAGAGAACTGGCCAACACAAGGACGTAGCATTCAATCTGGGAAAAATAATCAGTTCACAACAACAGACAATAAGGCCTGGTAGTTGCTAACAGAGGTCCTCAAACGATGGGACCGCCTCTCCTGGTATGTCCCACGGAGAACCTTACGGTCTTCAAATAAAAACATCTTGGAGGTCCTGGGCCGCAGGGAGGTTAGGCTGGCCTCAACCAGAGCCAGGACTTTTTCGGCTGTGGCTCCAAACTGGTGGAACGCTCAGTCACAAGAGACTAGGGCCCTGTGGGACTTGACATCTTTCCGCAGGGCCTGCAAGACACAGCTGTTCCACAGTCTGACCCCCCTCCTTTTGTAATCCTCATAGAACTCTAGCCCAATGGTTGCCATTAATTTGACTCTGAATTGATTTTAGAATGAATTGATTTTAGAATGTACCCGGTATTTCAATTAAATGATTATGATTTTATGTAAACTGTGTTATTTTGACTGTTGTTAGCCGCTCTGAGCCCAGCTTCGGCTGGGGAGGGCGGGATATAAATAAATTATCATCATCATCATTAAAACAGGTGGCCAGTTCACTATCCCTCAGACATTGTTGGGGGCCGGACTATAGTTTGGGGGGAAAATGAACTTTTATACCTCCAAAATAACCCATGCAATTTGTGTTTGAGCAGCAGAGGTTTACCTACTACTACTCTCCTCCTTCCCACGCTGCTTTTATTTTTTGGGGGGAGGATGTCTGGCAACCAGTGCCCCAATGTTCGGGAAAGAAGTCTCCCCCACTCCCAAGCCCCCTGCTCTGCCGGCAGCTGCACCTGGGCATTCAGCTGGTTAAGCTGCTGCAGGTCGGCATTCAGCGTCTCCAGCACCGGCTCGCGCGCAAAGCTCAGCAGCCCCAACGCGCGCCCGGATCCAACGCGCTCGCCTCCCCTGGCCGCCATCGCCTGGCTTCTCCCCACTGCACTCTGCCCCTGCTGGCACAGCCGCTTCCACTTCCTGGGCCGCTACTACTCGCGAGTAAGCCCAGCTGGGCGGTCTCTGCCAAGAAAAGCACACAGGAATCGGCGGGTTGGGGGTGGGTGGGGGTGGGTGTCAGGTCTTGCACTCCTGCCCTGCAGTCGGATTGGGTCTACTCGGAAACAAGCTCCATGGGTTTTCTTCTGGCCACTTCCGAGGTAAGGGTCACTTGGAGCACGTCTAGTCCACGGAAACACCTCACCTCACCGGGTTTATTTATTTATTTATTATTTATTTATTTTTATTTTTATTTTATTCAAAGTTATAACAAGACATATTATCCAAAAACATATCCTTATTTCCCCCCCATTTTTCCTCCCCCTCCCCCCCAGAACCCCAACGACCCCAACTTCCCTCAGTTCCAATCTTTGGTTTCTCCAATAATGCTGTTTTCTGCATGTTACAAAGTTGTATAGATCCTCAAACTGTTTAGCTGATTATTATCAGTAAAAAAATTGTGAATGTTTATTCAAAACCTGCCAAGGAGTCCAGTTCGCTTTGTTGCATAATCAGATACTTTGTGAAAGGTTCCCATTCATCCTTAAAGTCACAGTTATCCTTGTCCCGTAGCTTATATGTCAATTTTGCCAGTTCTGCATAGTCCATCAATTTTTCTTGCTATGATTCTTTAGTTGGGGTTTCTTCAGTCTTCCATCCTTGTGCTACCAGAACTCTCGCGGCCATTGTCGCGCCTCACCGGGTTTAAATCGCTACGTGGGGACTGACTGAGTGGGTGGCGAGGCTTCCGATTGGCTGCAGTTTTGGGCAGCGGGCCGGATTTACGAGCCTGGTGGGACGGATCCAACCCACGGACCTTAGTTTGAGGACCCCTGTGCTAACAGATCCACAGCGGGGAAACTGCAGCAGTCCTAAATGCAGATATTATGGGGAAATATAACAAATGCAATTCCCAGCTGGGGCAGGAGAGGAGTAGCAAAACAATTTTAATTAGATCTAACAAATGAGTCACGAAACGAATGAAACTTTTTGACAACAATAACAGAGAGAGTTCACTATTCTCTTGTACCCTGGGTTTCAGCAGGATTGAGAAGCGATAGCAACAGGTTATCAGACATCAAACCACCAATGTGGTTGCAAATTATAGATTGGCAGGGGCATCCAAAGCATTTCCCCAAAGAATGATTCATACACAGCGAAGAAAGAGTTTTGTGACTTTATGTGCAGGAGGAAAGTCAGCTATTGTTTGTACACTCTTGTCATTATTTGCATTATGTTCTTGCCTCGTTGCATCAGCTCTGGTACACGACTATGTTTAAAATAGACCCGTGTTGCTCAGCAGCAGAAAACAAAACATTGTTCTTGCCAACACCACTGGCAAACTGGAGATAATTTAAACTGAAGGGGGGTGGGGGGTGGAATTAAACCCAAAGAGGTGGTCTTGTCTTTTCAAAAATCCAAAAAGTGTACAGTCACTGTCAATCAATATGTTCTTTTCCCCCTCTCTTTTTTAAAAATAATGTTTATTAAGTTTTCAATTTTACATTTCCAAATAAACATTTTACAAACTTCAAAATATCCAATGACTTCTCTTATTCTCTTTCCATGGTTCATTTTACATATCATACATCCCTGCATATTTTACTATAAGCATTCAAATCAGTTTTCCACTTTTACATCCATCAAAAAATATTTACTCTGTTGAATTTATCTTAGTGTTGCATGCGTTTTCAGCTGTATACAGCTATTTTCAATATATTCAATAAATGTTTTCCACTCTTCTTTAAATGTGTGTCCTTCTTGCTCTCTTATTCTATGTGTTGAATCCGCAAGTTCTGCATATTCTGTCAACTTAAGCTGCCAATCCTCTTAAGTTGGGACCTCGCTCACTTTCCATTTTTGGGCTAGCAAAACACGGGCCGCAGTTGTTGCATACATAAATAGCCTTTTCTGACACGTAGGAATTTCAGTCTGCAGTATTCCCCCCAAAAGGACTCAATATTTCCATGAGGACATACTCCACCAAACTAGAAATTCACAAAGGGACAGATTCCACAACATCGTGGAGTGACAACACCAGGCCCCAAGTGTAAATTACTACTGGACTTGCACTATTGCTCCTCTGACGTGGGTGGTGCTGTGGTCTAAACCACTGAGCCTCTTGGGGTTGCCGATCGGAAGGTCGGTGGTTCAAATCCCCATGATGAAGTGACCTAGTCTGCCGGGGGTTGCAGACGGAAGGTAAACAAGTATCTCACTCAGTTCGCCTCGGGGGAGGCCAGGTACCTCTCTGACTGTGAGCTGAGATACTGACAGCTCTGTCCCAGCTCCTGCCAACCTAGCAGTTCAAAAGCACACCAGTGCAAGTAGATAAATAGGTACTGCTGTGGCGGGAAGGTAAATGGTGTTTCCGTGTGCTCTAGTTTCTGTCACAGTGTTCCGTTGCATCAGAAGCGGTTTAGTCCTGCTGGCCACATGACACGGAAAGCTGTCTGTGGACAAATGCCGCCTCTCTCTGCCTGAAAAGTGAGATGAGCGCTGCAACCCCATAGTCACCTTTGACTGGACTGGGGTCCTTTACCTTTACCTTCCCTGACCAAAGTGCCCACGGTAATCTCCTTGAAACCGAGGAGGCATCCACAGGAGGAAATGTTGTAGTAATTGGTGATTTCAATTACCCTCACGTAGGCTGGCTAAATGTATGTTCCAGGACCAGTCACAACAAAGAGGCAACATTTCTAGACTGTGCCCTGAAACAGGGGATAGTGGAATTGAGCAGAGAGCCGGTAACACTCGCCTTAAATTGTATTCTTCCAGTCTGTAGATATTTTGCAGGTGGGATCTCATACTGGCAAATTCAGGTTGCACAATTCAAGTAGAATTTCTGCTTTTGTGCCGCAAAGCAAAAAGAAAACTCGCTTCTAAAAAAAATGGACTTTTTTTCAGTAAGAAAAGTGATGAAATAACATTGCTTTGCACAATGTCATATAACTTCACTGACTTAAGGTAGTAGCCTCTTCCACATATATATTTTTTTAATTCTTTATTGATTAAAAATATACATATCTATACAAACATTAAATGCTATCTCTTTACAGATGAAGAAAAAGAAAATTATGTAGAGAATAGAAAATTTCTACAGGAACAAAAAAGAGGAAAAGAAAAAAATAAAGAAATAACAAAGATACGAAGGGGGGAAAATCAAAAGAGGAAAAGAAAAGACAACATTATTTACACAATAAAAGTGTTCATCAACACAATCCTTCCCATCCTTCTCATTATACTGTAATATATCCACATATTTTCTAAGTGAATTCTACATGTTAAGTGTGTGTTAATAGCAAGCCTGAAATTCCTTCGCTCCTTCTCTCCGCAGCACAGTCCATTCTAATAATTCCGCAGCAGTTGGAGCAGGAGAAAGGGAATTTTCATTCAAACCATCACGTTTCCCCATGATGAACTTTAGGAAAATTTCTACGTTCACTTCTAAATATTGTTCCCGCATACACCTGTCTCCCACACTTCCCAAACAATGCAGTTGGCCAATCAGCTTCGCAGGAGCACTGTGAATTCACTTTTGTTGATATGTAGCTAGGCAACGGGTCAGTGACAAAAGAGAACTTGCCATTTCTGTAGCAACGCAAGATGCTAACGTACTAATTTCTTAAATAAGAAAGGATATGCTAAGACCTAGCGCTTTGTTTCTGCTTAGTCCTCGGTGTGCACAAAGGAATCATTATGTGGGAGTTTAAGTACTGAGATTTTAAGGTAAGAACAAGGAACAAAGAGAAGAAATGTAACTACCAGGAGGTCAGCTCAATAAAAAATATCTCTGTTTTGGATGAGGTTGAACTATTGATCCCAATGAACCTCTTTTAATAGGTATAGCATGTTCATAGCATAGGATTTATTTTATTTGACCAATATGTATATAATGCTTGATTATAAAAATAATAATCTCTAATCAGTTTGCAACTAATGAGAGGTTTACTCCATTGCAATAAATTAAATTGCAAAGTTGAGATTCCTGGTATTTTAATAAGATCATTGGTATCTAAATCATGAAGTAATATAGGAAAACTATTTGAGGGCTTTCGTGTTTTATTAATGATCAAAAGGGAATTATTATTATTATTATTATTATTATTATTATTATTATTCACTTTACCACGCCAGAGGAAGCAGCACCGGCTCCTAGTAACTTTCAGTGCCAGATGTAACAAATAGAAAAAATAAAGCATTCGACTAATTATTATTAAATGTAATCCTGATCATATTAAAAGGTAAAGGTACCCCTGCCCGTACGGGCTAGTCTTGCCAGACTCTAGGGTTGTGCGCCCATCTCACTCTATAGGCCGGGGGCCAGCGCTGTCCGGAGACACTTCCGGGTCACGTGGCCAGCGTGACATCGCTGCTCTGGCAAGCCAGAGCCGCACACGGAAACGCCGTTTACCTTCCCGCTTGTAAGCGGTCCCTATTTATCTACTTGCACCCGGGGGTGCTTTCGAACTGCTAGGTTGGCAGGCGCTGGGACCCGAACGACGGGAGCGCACCCCCGCCGCGGGGATTCGAACCGCCGACCTTTCGATCGGCAAGCCCTAGGCGCTGAGGCTTTTACCCACAGCGCCACCCGCGTCCCCCTGATCATATTAAGTTAGTGCAAAATACAAAACTTCATTTTTGACCACTATGTAACCTGAAACATGCCATTGCCTTTTCAATGGTAAAAAAGTTATAATACGATCACATTCGAATGGCATGAAAATATAAGCTGATAAACAAATGTTTCACCATATTCACAGTGCTCATAATCATCAGAATTAGAACTAACAGCTCTTTGAAAGCGAACTCTGACAATTCTGTCCACTGGATGTAACTGTAACGATTTCCAGGGACACATTTTTGCTAGAAAAGCCAGATAACATGTATTTGAACATCATGCTAAATTTCCCCTATTATTTGTTTCATTTTATACTGCCATGCATAACATATTCTGAGATTATTAAGAAGACTAGCTAAATGATTATTTACAGTGTGTATATTTGTTTCCTTTCATATTGCTGTGAATATTTGGAAATTATTAAGAGGACTTCTTAAATGATTATTTACAGTGTACACAGCAAGCAGATCCAACACACACGCACCATTTCTTCGTTAGATTATTAGCAATTAAGTCTTTGTGTTTGTAGTCTGAAGAAGAACAGTTTGGCTTCCAACCGGATGAAGTTATTTATTTTTGGCAAATACGGATTTTCATTTAATATACCATGCACAACCTTGGTTGCATCTCTTAATGAAAGTCGCAGTGGATGGAACTATGATATGCTTCTCTCTAAAACCTCAGATTTTAATGAGGTGCTGCTATCTGAGGAACTGCAAGACAGGAAACAAGGGCCCTTTTGCAGTGATGAAAATTAGGAGCAAAGTAGAAGTTGCCTGCAGTGAAACTGTCAAGGCTTAGTGAGGATGGCTGAAGCTATCTCTGCACCACACATGATCAAATTCAGAAAACCCATAAAAACAAGAAACATTTCAGGAGACTCGATGAGTGACCTCCATGATGTAAGAGGCATGTAACATGGATGGTTAGACCTTTAGATGTCATCACAGAGGTTGTTGTTGTTGTTGTTGTTGTTGTCGTCGTCGTCATTGTTGTTGCTGTGCCCTGCCCATCTGATTCAGTTGCCCCAGCCACTCTGGGTGGCTTCCAAGAAATACAAAAGCATGATAATGATAATGATAATGATTTATTTATACCCTGCCCATCTGGCTGGGATTCCCCAGCCACTCTTGGCGGCTCCCAACCAAATATTAAAAACACAATACAGCATTAAACATTAAAAACTTCCCTAAACAGGGCTGCCAGATGTCTTCTAAAATTCATATAGTTGTTTATTTCCTTGACATCCGATGGGAGGGCGTTCCACAGGGCAGGCACCACTGCCGAGAAGGCCCTCTGCCTAATTCCCTGTAACCTCACTTCTCGCAATGAGGGAACTGCCAGAAGGCATCAGACATTAAAAATACCAAAATATAGAGAACTCCGGCAATTCATGTGATCCACGAATCCCTACTCTGCCGTAGAAGGAACACAATATCACTTTGAGTCATCCCCTTACCCTAGCAAAACTGAATTCCTTCCTTTATGGAACTTCCAAGTCAATTCTGACAATGGCCAATAATGTCACACTTATCCTTTTTTTTTGTCTAAACATTGCTTAAAAACAAAATTTAACAGCATGTATAAAAGAACAATATACAGCTGAACTTTGAAAGTCAAACAGAATCCGTTCTGGAAGACCATTCGACTTCCAAAACGTTTGAAAACTAAAGCATGGCTTCTGATTGGCTGCAGGAAGCACCTGCAGCCAATCCGAAGCTGCGGAAGCCCCATCGGACATTTGGCTTCCAAGAGAACATTCAAAAACCAGAGCACTCACTTCCTGGGTTGCGGCGTTCAGGAGCCAAAACGTTCAAGAACTAAGCTGTTCAAAAACCAAGGTACGACTGTAATTATTTTGATGGGTCTAAACAGAGATTTCAGTCTTCCTCAGCAACCCACAGGAAATGATTAAAATAATCAGAGGCCTTTCAGCAAGGCCTTTTTGTATCTTTAGCTACATCTCATGATCTGAAAAATCAAAGCAGCAAAAATGAAGTTATACTGGGCTGGGCCAAATATATTTTTCCAGAGAGGAGAGGTACTGGCCAATGTTTGTTTGATTGTTTGCCAGTGTGGAAAATCTGGACCTCTGAAGCTTGTGAAGTCATATTAATGTATCTGGCGATAAGCAGCAAGAAACCGATAAATTTCCGAAAACAAAAGGAAGGAATCTAAAAGCAGCAATACAAATTTTTCACAGTTAAAGCTGAAGGGTTTGTTTGTTTGTTTGTTTGTTTGTTTGTTGGTGCTTCTGTGCAGTGATATAATATGATAATCCTAAAACACTTTAAGAACTTGGTTGTTATTCCATTCTTTAGTCTGAAGGCAGGTAAGGTGAATCCCCACTTAGGCAGGGATTACGTTCTGGTGCCACACGAACATAAGTGAAATTTGCAAAAGTAGGGAGCACCCTCTAAAAAACCTTTAAATGATCTCTCTGCTCCTCTCACTCCACTCCAGATAAAAAATACTGCAACTAAAATATCCACAACTGGAATTGAAACTCTGGGGCTGGCAGGAGGCTGGAGGAAGTGTAGGAACGCTGTTGCTGCTGCACTACAATGGTGCTGTGGTCTAAACCACTGAGCCTCTTGGGCTTGATGATTGGAAGGTCAGCGGTTCAAATCCCCACGATGTGCTGAGCTTCCGTTGCTCTGTCCCAGCTCCTGCCAACCTAGCAGTTTGAAAGCACACAAGTGCAAGTAAATAAATAGGTACCCCAGCAACAGGAAGGTAAACAGCGTTTCTGTGCACTCTGGTTTCCGTCACGGTGTCCTGTTGCACCAGAAGCAGTTTAATCATGCTGGCCACATGACCTGGAAAGCTGTCTGTGGACAAACGCCAGCTCCCTCGGCCTGAAAGCGAGATGAGTGCTGCAACCCCATAGTCGCCTTTGACTGGACTTAACCATCCAGGGGTCCTTTACTTTTTTACTTTTACAATGCTATTAGGCATGGAGGCTGAGCAGCCTAAACAAAGCCCCTCTGTATTACCAGTCTCTTCTCTGCTCTCACTGAAGCCCTCTTTCGGCTCTGGGGAGGGTCTCCCCACAAGCCATGAGGACATAGCTGTCAACTTTCCCCTTTTTTAAGGGAAATCCTATTCGGAATAAGGGACTTTCCCTTTAAAAAAGGGAAACGTTGACAGCTATACATGAGGACCCTCCAGCAATCTCTCACCATTTCCTGATATGAATGTAATTATTTCCCAGCACCATGCGTTTACACAGTCGCGCACAAGTAGGGGGTTGCCTGCATTCTTTTCAAGGGGCTTTCCCTAGCAAAATTCCTATTGAATAGAAATCAAAATGGATTGCGGCACTGTGGCTTATCTAATTACCTAGCGGGCACGACGACATTTCTTTCAACCCAAATCTGTGTTAAAAGGACGCAGGACTGACAGATGGATTTTTGTGAAGCATTTATACCTGGTGGGATCCTGAGAGATGGGGGAAGAGAGAACCTCTTTTTTACAGATAATTTTTTTGCAGATCAATGGAGGAAAAAAACTAAAGAGCCCTCATGTGTATGTACATGAGTTTTATATCCAAAGACATCCATGAAGCAAACAAAAGAATCCTTTTCCTGTGGAGTTTTCCCTCACATGAAATCTATACATTTTAGCCGACTGTCATATTTCCTCTCGCCCCTAAGCACTTGACCGAACCATTAGGATTACTGCTTAGAGAAAAGGCTACTCTTGGAGATTAGTGAGAACCATATTGTGAGAGACTTTGAAAAGATTAATGGAAATTTAAACCACAGGAGAGCTCTTCCTCATAGAATTTTTTTCTTGAAATGTAGATGAACTAAATTTGGATTAGTTGCTCTTCGGTTGTGAGATATTACATATGAAGTAGCGCCTTCTGGCAGCATCTAGATGAGCTTCTGTATTTCTATGCATTGTCTTATTTGGATCCAGATAGTCCATTACATTGAAATTTATTTTCATTAAAAGCACATGGTTTATGAATTAAGGCCATCGCGGAGGACTGCCGATGGCTCAAGCATTGTCCAAAAGAAGAATGATGACCCATATTTGGCTACCGCTCGCTTTTGTCTTCACGTTCAGAAAGAAAGCTACACTTTGTCATGCCTTTTATAGAGAAAAGTTAATTTACTTTTAAAAACCTTATACGCTTTCTAGTTGACGGGGAACATGATGGAGGGTTTCAGATTTACGGATGTGAACTTACAGGACATTTCCAACTTGGCAGAAAGGAAAAGAGACCAAATGGTGTAATCCCCCAAATAAAGCATAAATCTATTATGAAACGCATCCAGCAGAGATCTTGGAAGTCCAACAAGAGGCTATATTGTTAACAGGTTGTTTATGGTTTCTCTTCTTGACTGATTCATAGCTTGACTCATTCAACATTCTTTACCCCAGAGCCTGCATTACTGCTTGAAATTATTGTAAAGGGGAACAGCTTGATCATCCATGATACACATCTATCCATGGAAAATGGACTGGTGGAGAAAGCCTTAGCTGGGTGAAACACAGGTAATGTTCCCAGATACTCCTTTCCCATGACCCTCTAGTAAGCTTTGCCTTTTCTTTCTCCGTGACATGAAAACGGTTTCACTTGCTCACAATTATCTGGGGCCTCCTAAAAAAAGTTTGGGGTACATTCAAGTTGTGTTACTACTTACTGAACCACTTTTATTATTTTACCGTTATTACAACTACTACAGCAGCCGTCGAGGGCAAGAAGGATAGTTCGCCACGATGTGCAAATGCTTTAAACATATCATTCGCTTCCTAAGGATACTGCAAATGGCAACCCACTAGAAAATACTTAAGCCACGCATTCTGGTGTCTAGCTAGCAGTGTTCCATCAGTGGAATTGCTGTGGAGGAACTAGCAATGTTTTCCATGACAGGAAAACATTGCAAATTAAGGAACACTGATGTATCAATTTGTAACAACAATTCCAGGAGATCAACTCTTCAAAAAGACATATACAGTGGTACCTCAGGTTAAGAACTTAATTCGTTTTGGAGGTCCGTTCTTAACCTGAAACTGTTCTTAACCTGAAGCACCACTTTAGCTAGTGGGTCCTGCTGCTGCTGCTGTGCCGCCGGAGCATGATTTCTGTTCTCATCCTGAAGCAAAGTTCTTAACCCGAGGTACTATTTCTGGGTGAGCGGAGTCTGTAACTTTAAGCATCTGTAACCTGAAGTGTATGTAACCTGAGGTACCACTGTACATATGAGAAGGAAATATTATACAAATGTGTGTGTGTTGTGTGTGTGTGTGTGTGTGTAATGTTTTGACTGTTAGTTGAAACAACTTCACGGTTATATGGTTTACGTATCCTCCAACATTTCTCCAGTGAGAATAGGGATGTCCTGTTCCATAACAACAACAATAATAATATTTTTAATTTATTTATACCCCACCCATCTGACTGGGTTGCCACTCTGGGTGGCTTCAAACATATATAAATACGTAATAAAAACATTTTTAAAAACTTCCCTGTACAGGGTGGCCTTCAGATGTCTTCTGAAAGTTGTATAGTTACTTATCTCCTTGGCTTGGGTGGGTCACATAACTCCATAGCCTCCAACATTTCTCCAATGAAAACAGGGACACCCAGGGCTTTTTTTTTTTGCGGCTGGAACTCACCGGAACTCAGTTCTGGCACCTCTCAGGTGGGTGCCATTGCTTTTATAAGATGACAAGGGAAGCAGGACTTTCCAAGATCAAATAAGAAACCAGGACAGGTTCTGTAAATCCAGGACTGTCCCTGGAAAATAGGGTCACTTGGAGGGTCTGACTTATGAATTCAGGCAAATGCAACAGACAAATGTTTTAGTAGCTACTGTGCCTTCTCAGTGTTAAGGACAGGATTTACTTTGTCTTATTATTACCGGTGTTTCATTTCTTTTGTCTTGTACAGAATCAACTTAATGTAACACATGTGGCTGTACAATGTGGCAACACCAATAGTTATTGCTATGAATGCAGAATAAAAAAAAATGTTTGGAAGAATGACAGTGAGGTGACCGACAAAAACCACGCAAAAGCACAATCCTATACATGCTTACTCAGAAGTAAGCCCCACAGTGGTGAGTGGGGCTTACTCCCAGGTAAGTGTGTACAGATTGCAGCTGAAATGTTATATATGCAGAAATGCTCGACATAAAAATATTGCATTTGGCTACACTAGCTATTTTACTCTTTCTCTCTCTCTCTTTAAAAAAAATGTTTTAAAACAATTAAACATCTGCCTACAACTTACCATGTTTTTATATACATATTCCTCCTATTTTTTCCCCAGGATTTAAAAAAATAGACACTAAAAAAATAGTAAAACAGAAAAAACACCACAAAAAGGCAACATTGCTGGGAGTGTTAGAACATTGCAAATGTGCTCAGATCTATCACAGCTGCCCTCTGTTTTAGGATCTTGTACCTCTTTATCCCAGAGAACTTCATTGTTTTTAAAGGAACAACAGGTCAACCAAAAGACAACCACAAAGTCCAAATAAAGAAACACTACATAAATCCAGACATCCTGTTAATGGAACATTGTTGACTTCATGGAAACGGCTTTAATGAAAAAGACTCTGAGCAAGCACAATAAAACACTGCCCAATGCTGGAAAAGTCCTTGCTAACATCTCCACCAGCTCGTCTTTAAGACAGGCTTCAAAATCCACTGTTTCAGATCCTTCCATGCTCTTGTCAGGAGTGGGTTTAAATTCTACCCTTAAAACAAGCGCTGGGAAGAAGAGGCCGGGGACTGTGGTGGTATCAAAACGATCAAGTACTGGGGGCAGGTCTCAGGATCAGTGGGATCGGCCCGTCATTCCCCCGAGAAGACCTGTCTTCAGGATCTGCCATATCTGTGGCAAAGAGTTTGGGTCACAATCTCTTCCTATCCACGAGCCAAAATGCCTGGAGAAGTGGCAGATAGAAAACGATAAGCTGCCCAAACATCTCAGAAGACCACCGCCCGTTCAACCTCAGGCTCTTCCTGGAGGATCTCTCGGTACGATGGCGGAAAACGCAGCAGCTGCTCAAAGTTACAAGCTCCTACCCTGTGAACACTGTGGCCGTACTTTTCTTCCAGATCGCCTTGCTGTACACCAAAGGAGTTGCAAACCGAAAGCCAGTTCAGGTCCTTCAAGCTACAGCTCCTCTAAATCACATAGATCCACTGGGCCTGCATCTTCCACCTCAGACAAGGTAAATTAGAAGGCATCACACCTACGAAAAAAGCAAAATTGTTTCCTGTGCAAATTCCACCTTGACATTCCAGTGCTGTTGAAGTTAATGGTAAAACCTTCACTATTGACTTCAATCAAGCTAGGAGATCATTTCAGAGACTAGAAATGAGTGAGTAGCCTTAAACAAGCCTAAGGTGATGCCAGGGTTACTTTCCATGTTCTGAATAAGTTATCAGCAGAAATGCAGACTTCATTGTAAGCACATTGCTTGTATAAGAAAAACATCGCAACCATGGTTTTTGTAGTGGTGGTAGCAGTGATTTAATTAACATGAAGTTCAGTGTTTATATAAAACATATTAGACATTTTTGGCTTCTAAAATGCTATAGATAACGACGGAACGATGTTCAAGTTTAAGGTTGGTGGCTTAACTCAAGTTTGCAACGCAGCACAAATATAGGCAAGCAGATGGCACAGATTTTCCACTGAAACTCATGTAGAAACCATAATTAAAACAAAAAAGCACTTAGAGCCATACCAACATATAATTCTGCTTGTGAAAGGACCCATGAAATCCTTTTCATATATTCTGAATGTTGGTTTAATGGATGTGGACAGATGCTTGCAGTTCTCGTCCTACGGAGTTTGCAAGGAATCCTTCACCTCAGCTTGCCCTCTAATTGTGATTTATTTATGGGAATTTGGGGGATAAAATATATTTGTCAAGCAGCCGATATGAATAAAAAGGCTGCGAGCATCTGCTAAGTGCTATAAATTCAAAGAATCCATCCCCTTGGAGTACAGGTTTTTACTTTGCATCTCTCTGAGGTTGAATTAACATGTGCAAAGTCGAACAGCATTAGATACTTTTGTGGGAATTACTCATTTGTACACAAATAGTGTACAAATGGACATTACATGAAGGACACTGCTGAGTGAATTCAAGAAGGTACCTCAACATTGTTTGTTGCTTGGCTTTCTAGTCAGAAAGAAGTTGTAATTCTTCTTGTCGTGAGCCAAGGCAGAGAGGACTAAACTCTGGCCGTGTATTGTTATGATGTATTGTTATGTTTCATATATTCCTGGTCTTCTCTTTGTGGTTATTAGCCACTTTTATAACAAAAAAGGTCAATTCTTTATGAAAGGAGAAATGGGAGGGAATATGGAAGACAAAGAAAAAGCAAAAAAAAATATATCTGAGTAATACAATATCCTGTAATTTTAAATCTGAAAGTGACGAAGAAGAAAACTGGACTCAGATGTTAACCAACTCCCCCATTTTTAATTGCTGTAACCTTCCCCAAAATTTGGCCCAAGAATCTACAGATAATTCACAGCTATCTATTAATTACTGGCAATTCTTTATGTAATTAGGGGGCAATTGTCAATGAGATGAGGGCATAACACTACATTCAGAGTCTGTTTCTTCCACCCACCCATCTTGGTGCATGCGTTCATACAAAGTTCATGTAGTAGCAACATCCTAGGATATAGTTGTTAAATTTATTTGCTTATCATAACTATTTTTTAATGTAAGCTTTTTAAAGTATGGCAGGTTTAAAAAGGAGTTTGAGGGCATTCGGGAGGGGCTTTTGAACAAAAGACTTACTGAAGTATTTCACTGTAGGCAAACTATTGAATTATGGCATATGACAATAAGAATTTGTCTCCCTTGGCATTTTCTTGCAATACTTGCATTTCCTTTGTTTCTTTTCCCTGAACCTTCTCATGGGATTAGCATCTTCATTGAAGCCAGCCAGACAAAACATTTGGGAAGGTGGCACAGCTATATTATAAATCTGAACCAACTTCAAACCAGTTTAAATGTCACGGCTTCCCATTAGAGGATTCAGGGAATTGTAGCGCTGCAAAGGAACTTGGTACGCCCTCAAAAACTGATAGTTTCCTTTGTGTGTCAATCAAGTTTGCATTTGTAGTATAGAATGCAGGATAAAAGGAAAGACACTTACAACCAAACTCTCTTGAGCCATATTTACCCAAGTTGTTGAAGAACAGGCTCTATTCATCTATGGAGGTATAAGATTGATAGGCGTGAAAATGGAAACTGCCGCTGGCCTTCTTCTACAAAGTTGGACTGAAGGGGACAAAAAATTAGAAAGGAAAGATAGTGATAGCATAGAGATGGAAGGGAATTGGGGCTAGTGAAGATCCTGGTTTGAGTGGAACAGAAAACATTGGGTATGTCTTTGCACATACACATTTCCATCCCAAAAAGAGCAGGACCGAAGAGATGGAAGACCGTAACTTCCACAATGTATTTGGAAAGCCTGTTCTGAAGGATTCTCTAAAAGGGTCCCTCTGTAAAGAGAGTTGATGAGGTCTGGTCATAAGGATAATCATTGCAGTTCCCCTCAATTAAACAGGGCACAGTGCCCATAGCAGGACAATAAATTTGTCCCATTGTATTGTTATGCTAGACCTCATTTTCTTCTGATTCCCTCACCAAGTGTTTCCTGAATTGTAGAGTCAAGCCAGTTTGCCTGTAATGGGTTTGTTAGGCCAAAGTTGTTATTTTGTAATCCAATTGGTAATGGAATGAATGGGCTCATTTGGATTAACTAAGCCTGATTATATCTTCAGTAAACAGCCTAAGCCTCATAGACTTTGGCTGTGCAGGTCAGTTTTGATAGCCCTGTTCTCAAATCCGGCTTAGGACTGTATTGCTGCAAGGGAAATGTAAACAACCCTTAGACAGATAGTCTCAAAATCCAGTTCCCCACTGCAAAGAAAGGGGGCACAGTTATTTTGTAGGGCATATTTCTCCATTTCCTGCATAAATCACAATTGCATGCTTTTGATGTCTTTTTCGTTGCTCTCTTTGTCCATATATGTTAAAAATTTCATTCTGAAATTTCATTGGTTGTATCTTGACTATCTATTGCTGCCATCTGCTGTCTTTTCCCTGTTCTATGTCTGTTTCCAAAATAAAAGCATATTTTGGCCTGTAGTCTTTACTCTGTCACTGCACAAAACCAAAGGTCCAAATCTTTTTCTACTTCAATCTTTGCCAACCTGGTGCCTTTCAGATGTTTTGACCAACAACTCCCAATGGCCACTTGTTGGCCAAAACGTCTGGAGGGCAAAGGTTGACAAAATCTGCTCTATGCTGTCATTAGAAGTTGAGCCACTGGATCCATGTTTTCCCGAAATATGAGGAGTGGGGGTGGGGGTGGGGCAGAGTTTTGAACCCTCTGTGCTTCCTATCCTTATCTCTGCACTTAATTTCCAGCATTAGGTAAAGGTAAAGGGACCCCTGACCATTAGGTCCAGTCGTGGCCAACTCTGGGGTTGCGGCGCTCATCTCGCTTTATTGGCCAAGGGAGCTGGCGTACAGCTTCCGAGTCATGTGGCCAGCATGACTAAGCCGCTTCTGGCGAACCAGAGCAGCTCACAGAAATGCCATTTACCTTCCTGCTGGAGCGGTACCTATTTATCTACTTGCACTTTGATGTGCTTTCGAACTGCTAAGTGGGCAGGAGCAGGGACCGAGCAACGGGAGCTCACCCCATCGTGGGGATTCGAACCGCCGACCTTCTGATCGGCAAGTCCTAGGCTCTGTGGTTTAACCCACAGTGCCACCCGCGCCCCAATTTCCAGCATTATTTCATTGTAAAAACCTTTCATCAGGAGAAAAATAGTGTTGCACACCACCCCGGTCCTTTGGAATGAGGGACAGTGGAGACTGTGGTGTCTCTATGATATATGGTTTCTTTACTCAAAGATACAACCTGAGCCTATGATGGAGGGATTCACAGCATTAACACACCAAGAGGGCCTTGGATTCCAACAGAAATCAGGCATGGCTCTCGCTCCTTGGCTTTGCAGCCTGCTCCTTCCTTCCAGCTTCTAGCTCTCATCACTCAGCTCCCAACTCTTTGTCTTTCTAACGAACAGACAGTTGAGAGAGGGGGGCATACCTCTGTGTCCTCTGGCACAGAGCCACTTCCTTTATTACCTCAATGACCCATACTTATGCCAATAGTCCAGCTGTTCCAGGAACTGAATCCATGCTGGATGCAGGAATTAGAAGGGGCCCAGGTATACAGCCTACCAACACCCCCCCAAAAAAATCTCATAACAATAGCTTTTGTGGTCATTCCATTCAATATGTCCAAAAGAAGAAAACAATTTTAAGGGCGTGCTTGGCCTGGTTACAGTGGGAGGCAAGTTGAATTATGTTTGCTTCTGTGTGTCAAAGAAAAGTGAGGAAATTGTGGTATAACATGCAAAGCCAGAGGGGAAAAAGATTCAGCAGCCAATGGAAAATCTTTTTTTCAGGTCATGTACCATATTGCTCCATCTCTTTCCTCTGTCTCTGCCAGAAGTGACAGGAATCGGGGGGTGGGGACAGCAACATCAAGAGGAAGACTGGGCCCTGGAAGCTCTGGGGCTTGGCAGTGGGGCACATTGGAGGATTCCAATGCCTGACAGCAATGCCAACTCCATGTGCTGCCAATGGTTTAAACCATGCCTTATTGGGGTAGTAAAGGTAAAGGGGCCCCTGACCATTAGGTCCAGTTGTGGCCGCCTCTGGGGTTGCGGTGCTCATCTCGCTTTATTGGCCGAGGGAGCCTGCGTACAGCTTCCGGGTCATGTGGCCAGCATGACTAAGCCGCTTCTGGCATACCAGAGCAGCACACGGAAACGCCATTTACCTTCCTGCCGGAGCGGTACCTATTTATCTACTTGCACTTTGACGTGCTTTCGAACTTCTAGGTTGGCAGGAGCAGGGACCGAGCAACGGGAGCTGACCCCGTCATGGGGATTCGAACCGCCGACCTTCTGATCGGCAAGCCCTAGGCTCTGTGGTTTAACCCACAGCACCACCTGCGTCCCTCTATTGTAGTAGCATATACAACTTATCGGAATGGAGACTAAGAAATGAATAAACTCTCCCATTCTCCTTCTACTGAAAGGGAAACTTCCAGCCCATCACATTTTCTTCAGTTTTCTCCAGTTTTCCCATTCTGCCCTGGCCCCTAAAGGTTGGGGATTCCTGTAGAAGAAGAACTCATGCCTTGCATTCATAAGATTCCAAATTGGCTCTCGAAATCTCAGCTAAAGGCTCTTTCGTACTTACACTAGGGAAGATCACGTAAGTAAGCCCCTCAAGAATTGTTTCCAGTCACAATTGTGGGTACTTGTCTAGGTAGACCATGGTCCAGCTTAGTAGAAGTCATTCATCATACCCACCAAGTGCCCTGGGAAAAACAGGACACCCCATTTTTTCATGTGAGATCATGGCGGCCATTTTGGGTGCCACACTTATGCACCGCGGTCTCTCACCACAAAAAAGTACTTTTTTCTGGGGCGAGATCACAGCACAGGTCACATGACTCTCCCGAAGACACGCATCCTCGTTTTTTATTTGAAAAATTTGGACGGTATGTCATTTATCATACTGTTTAAACAAGCACCCTCTGCAAACCATTATCCAGAAACAAGCTACACCTTTTTGTTTGTTTTTGCAATAACCCAAGAAGCTATGATCTTAAGTCCCTTTCTTAGCAACATTATCTTGAAGTTTGCCTGCCATCTCCAAAGTAAATTTCAAAGGACCATTTGTTCCTAAAGAGCCCGTTTGAAAGCTCTTAATATTAACCAATTCAAAACCAAATATAGTAACAGGTGTGAATTTTCTGCCAGGAATTCGCAACTGAATCCATATTTTTCAGGCACATTATTAAAATGTGTTATAAAGCATAAACACCCTGCATCTCCATCCTCCACTTTGTCAGTGGGATTCTTTCCAACAGCACAGACTGCTTGGGTTTTAAATGATTTTCTAAAATCAATTGCCTTTCTTTTAACTGAGCTTGTTGTCCACAGCCTGCATTTATACGGCGACCCCCAACCGTTATTTGCTACATTTGCGGCCGAGAGTATGGAACTCAATCCATAAGCATCCATGAACCGCAATGTCTGAAAAAATGGCACATTGAGAATGATCAGCTGCCAAAACACTTAAGACGACCCGAACCCAAGAAGCCAGAGGTCGTATCCATAGGAGGTAAGTCACCATCTCGAAAGATAAACACAGAGACAGCAGGAGAAGGGGCAGCATAAACATCCGTGAAAACCTTGCACATTAATTTTTACTTTAACCGATCAAAGCTATGCCATTTACCTGGTTTCAAGTCTTTTCTCATTTAACAAAATCAATGGGATTTATAGTGTGGAAGTCAGCGTCTCGCTATTACAAGTTTCTGTCTGCGTTTGCATTATCAGCTTGCCAGCCGGAATCAGGGGTGTCAATATTTTTTTGAGGGGTGCACAACATTTGAATGGCAATGTCCATCAATCTTGGGGAGGCCCAGCCCCCCAAAATATTTTATGGGGGGGGGCAAAGAGACCTTGGCCCCTTGGAGATGGCTCCTATGGCTGGAATGATTCCCCCTCCCGCTGCATGCTGTTCTGGGGGTGCACCCCCAAAACACTGCCTGCAGCCACTTTTGGGGGATGAGTGGGGAAGTCCCATGATGCAACTGGAAGCCCTTGCACAGTGCTTCTGCTGGCAGGGGTTGTGAGGTGGACCCCGGCCTATATTGGCGTAGGCCTATTGGTTATACTCATTCACATGTTAGCATAACGCTTGGAGCCACTAAATTCCGTGGCACGTAGTCTTCCATCAATAGAGGTGCCACCAGGAAGCACTTGAGAGCAGAGGTTTGGGATCTGTTCAGAAGGGGCCCCAAACGCAACAGGACTGGACTGGCTAAGGCAACGGATTGAAGGGAGCTTAACCACATCACCATCGAAAAAGCACGCACACCCTGCCACAAAATAGTTATCTCTAGAGACTAAAATTACCTAAGTGCACCTCGGCCCAGCACAGACCTTGAAAAGGTAGCTGATAACATCACCTCTGGAGAAGGTTTACATTGAATTGGTGTAAGCTTAAAAAACATGTCAGTGTGCTGTAGGAATTGCTCCTTCTGGTAATAATGACTTTCCAGAGGCTTAGAGAGCCAGTGTTGTATAGTGGTTAAGAGTGGTAGTTTCGTAATCTGGTGAACCGGGTTCGCGTCTCCGCTCCTCCACATGCAGCTGCTGGGTGACCTTGGGCTAGTCACACTTCTCTGAAGTCTCTCAGCCTCACTCACCTCACAGAGTGTTTGTTGTGGGGGAGGAAGGGAAAGGAGAATGTTAGCCGCTTTGAGACTCCTTCGGGTAGTGATAAAGCGGGATATCAAATCCAAACTCTTCTTCTTCTCTTCTTAGAAGCACTGCTTTTTTTTGGGGGGGGGGTGCTGGTACTCACCAGCAAGCAGGGAAATGGGCCAGAACATGGGGGGGTGAGGATGGGTTAGCTGCTTGATGTTCCCTCACCCACCCACCTCGAAGAAGAAGAAGAAGAAGAAGAAGAAGAAGAAGAAGAAGAAGAAGAAGTTATTATTTATACCCCACCCATCTGGCTGGGTTTCTCCAGCCACTCTGGGCGGCTCCCGACAGAATATTAAAATACAGAATATTAAAAACACAATAAAAACATCAAACATTAAAAACTTCCCTAAACAGGTTTGCCTTCAGGTGTCTTCTAAAAGTCAGATAGTTGTTTTATCTCCTTGACATGCAATGGGAGGGCGTTCCACAGGGCGGGTGCCACTACCGAGAAGTTCCTCTGCCTGGTTCCCAGTAGCTTCACTTCTTGCAGTGAGGGAACCACCAGAAGGTCTTCGGAGCTCAACCTCAGTGTCCGGGCCGAACGATGGGGGTGGAGACACTCTTAGTGAGCTGAGCGTTGCCGCCCAGGTGAAGAGGCCTCTGCTGCCCGGGTTTGGGAAGAAGGTGGCAGGGCTACAGGACACTGTCAGAGCATCATGCCTCCTTCACTGAGCTGGGTAAATGTTTCCCTGGCTTGGGGAATGAGATGCGATGCTCTAATGGGGTCGGAGAGCCCTCCTGCTACCTTCCCAAAGCCTGTCTAGCATTGGGAAGGAGGCAGCAGGGCTCTGGGACCCTGTCAGATCATTGTGCCTCCTTCTCCAAGCCCAGAAAGCATTTGGCCAGCTTAGGAAAGGAGGTGCAATGCTCTGAAAGGGTCCAAGAGCCCTTTCACCTCCTTCCTCCCTCTCCCAAAATGGTGGCAGTGCTGTGTACCATTGTGTACCCTTCAGAAAAAAGGCACTGCTTAGAACTGGATGGTTTTCAACTTCCTCATTCTAGCATTTGGAAGAGGAACACCTAGAATATAAATTCAACAGAGTATATAATCATTGATGGATGTAATAGTGGATAATTAATTTTAATGGTTATCGTAAAATATGCAGGGCTGTAAGATATGTAAAATGAACCATGGAAAGAGAAGAAGGGAAGTCATTGGATATTTTAAAGTTTGTAAAATGTTTATTTGAAATTGTAAAGCAGAAAAGTTAATAAAAGTTGTTATTATTAACAAAAGTGAAAGAGGAACATCTAGATAACTAGATGTTGGACTCAGCTACATTGGACTACAAGAAGATCAAACCTATCCATTCTGAAGGAAATCAGCCCTGAGTGCTCACTGGAAGAACAGATCCTGAAGCTGAGACTCCAATACTTTGGCCACCTCATGAGAAGAGAAGACTCCCTGGAAAAGACCCTGTTGTTGGGAAAGATTGAGGGCACAGAGGACGAGATGGTTGTACAGTGTTCTTGAAGCTACCAGCATGAGTTTGACCAAACTGCGGGAGGCAGTGGAAGACAGGAGTGCCTGGCGTGCTCTGGTCCATGGGGTCATGAAGAGTTGGACACAACTAAACGACTAAACAACAACAACATTGGCAAAGAGAAATGGCTTTATACACGTTGTTTATGCATTCTAAGTCTGTGACACCAGATGGCACTGTGGAGTTCCGTTTTTGCCAACCCAATTTCTCTTACAAAGTTTGCAACACATTTAACTGAAACGCTTCTTTGATGTGTATCTAGATCCAGCCTTTCAAGCCTTTGTATAGATCAGGGATGCTGGAACAACATTGCCAAGCCACAAGCTGTTTTTGTAATATTTGTGTTGCCCCACACTGTTCGAAAGCCACTCCGGCAATCATCTGGCTGCACATTTGTAACATCCTTTGCTACCAGTACATTCAGTGGGTGCTTCTCCCACAGCAGGAATACCTTTTTAAATGAAAAGCAGAGCAAACCAAAATGATACTTAAAAATGTAAGCCGCTTTTCCATGATTACGATGATTAACACCAAAACAATGAAAACTGAGGTATCCGAAACTTTGGAGAACTAAGTAACGAAATCTTAGACAGGTTTTACAACTGTATCATCTGCCCAGTCCTGCAAGGCCTCTGAATACTAGTGAAAATCTGTGGCAGATTCCACTCTTACATATAAAAACTCAACTATGGGTTTCTTCTGGCATTTCATCTTAGCTGGGATCACCCTGAAACTCTATGAACTGCCTTATATAAACTGGTTGCTATTTTAAAATGCTTTGCAATGATCACAGGGAGCCCGTTCTCTGTATCAGCTACAACTATCATCAACCCCAGTCAGCGGACAGAGTTTTTAAAGAGGAGGAAAGTGACCAGCAAAGAAAGGGTTAAGCCTCCCCGTCTCCATCATAAAGCACTTTCCCCCCCAAAGTATATATATATATATTTGCAATGGAGAAGTAGCCGTCAGGCTAATGTGGCTGCAATGTAATGTGCAGTTTGGCCCTGAATGTTCCAAAGTATATAGAGAACACATTCATTTCCTGCAAATGAGAAGAATACTTGCTTCAGCCAAAAAAGGAACTCCAGTTGGTGAAAAGGAATATTAGGAACAGACGCATTAAGAGATCTAAGGCTTACTCTCATATGAAGCATTGAATGTGAATCACATTACAGCTCTCGGGGTTCTTATGGAAAAATCTGTATTTTTACTTGTCATATAAACAATGGAGTCATGTGTATGTGTGTGTGTGTGTGTGTGTTTTAAAAGTACTAGTTTTAAACAGATTTGGGCTCAGTCACTTGCATGCAAAATATAGATAAAACTTTCCAGGGCTCCCCCCCCCAGGTGCTCAGTTCCGGCACCTCTCAGGTGGGCACTGTTGCCATTATAATAAAACAAGGGAGGTGCTCCTAGTGAGTTCTGGCACCTCTTTTTCTAGAAAAATAGCGCAGGTTGCTCCCTAAAGTACCATACCTTTTGGCAAAGGAAAACTATTCTCTGTTTCAAATAAAGCTCTATAATTTTTTCACTATGCACTGCCAAGGAGGATTATACAGTAAGGTGTGGATGCTGTTGAACTTATACAGTTGCTGTACAACCTCAGTTCGAGGTAGCATGGTGAAAAGGAAAGGGTCTTGAAACCCATTTTAAGGCAAAAAGAGAAAGCAGGGGTTTGGATGCAAATTAGCCCATTTGAAATGCCCCGAATCTCTTGCCTTAATTGCAGATTCTGGGGTGAAAATGGACTTAAATTGAGATTTTTGCCTGTCTGGGTCTTTGTGTGAGCTCCCCTCGAAGTTACAATGAAAGCAGCTTTGAAAAATGAAACAAAATTGGATCACTGACCCTAAGAACAGCACTGGGAGGGCATAATGAAGTATATAGAACACTCTGTGCTTTTCTCTTCCATCTCTCCGGTCAGTTCCCATTGGCTCATTAGGCAGCATTTGCAAGAAGGCCAAGTGGTGAAACTCACTGATATTTAAGTGTAGGAAAATGTGTTAATAATTAGCTAAGAATGTGTAACACAGCACATGCTGAAATGCTTTCTCCGTACATGCAAGATGATTCAGTTTGTAGTTAACTTTATTTGACCCCTGAGACAATAAGCAGAGTTTTGGTGGGTTTTCGCTCTCATAAGGACTGTGATTTAGTTAAAACTGAAAGGCTCAGTCAACAGGTATTTCCTGAAAATATTTTCCATGCAAGTGGAGTATGGCTCTCCAGAATGAAAACTGATATTTTCTCTTCTTAATTTTCCAGCCAAAGGTTACTATGATCTGGATGCTTTAAACGAGTCTGCCTGGCAAAGCGCCCAGGCCCAGTTAGTTCCATGCAATATTTGTGGTCGTACCTTCCTGCCAGACAGGCTGATCGTTCACCAGCGCTCGTGTAAGCCGAAGACACCGAAATAAAATGTTCCTCCTTTCAAGCCAAAGTTTTTAAAGAACAAGACTCTTCTCTGACCTAGAGGTCAGAGGTCTCAGCAATGAAGAATCATAGCACTATGTCGAATCAAGTTCCAAAAATGACCTGTGTACAATTAACTGAATATTGATTATGTAGGTGAAATATGGACATGCCATTGCTAACAGTGTTTTGCAGCAGTGGTATTGACCACGCGGTCCATAAGGATGATGGGAGTTCAACTTCTCCGGCGTTCTTCAGAGCAGACCGTGGCCTTAAGACTTCACAGTGAATACCATTGTTTCTCGGACACACTCTGTTATGAAGTGGCTATGCCTTTTCAGACCCAAGAGTTAGTAAATCATGTTTAAGAATACTTCTTTTTACTGAGGATGTTCCCGTTCAAAGGCCCTATCTGCAGCAAAATGAGGACAATAAAAGCTTTGGTAGGCTGCTTCAAAAGTGGGCATTCCATGTGTTTTGAAGACTAATATCTCCAATCTTGTTTCTCAGGTATTGACTCTGTAATGTTAGTGTTAAGTTGTGGGCGAACATATCAGACGACACAGCGATTCTTTAAACAGCTCTTCTTTATTCTGAGGCCAGAACTGAACTGAGCTGAAGGGCTCAGTCAGCCTGCTTATATAGAGCTCCAGTACCTTGTTATTGTAACAACTTTCTAAAACTATCCAATCACTGAACGTCACTTTCAATCCTTCATTTGCATACAAACTATCCAATCAATCACTGAACGTCACTTTCGATCCTTCATTTGCATAACTATCTACAGTATCCCCCTGCTAGCCCAGGGTGAGAACTTCAGTACATAACAGTTAGAGTTTACAGGCATACATCCAGTCTTGTCTCCATAATATGAAGGTGCTTGGGTAATGGTCACATTTTCCTCCAATCCCTGTGACAAGATTTGAATGTCAGCTTTGAGGCTCTAGTACTCAAGTTCAGTCCTGTCACCCATCTTATTTGCAGGACATGGAGAATCTTGGAAATGTGTTCCCTTCCCGCAAAGAACTGCAGGCAGGGTTGGCCCAACCATGAGGCAAGGTGAGGTGACCGCCTTGGGTGGCAGGTTCCACAGGGGCAGGACATGTGGCCTCCAAGGAATGCATTGCTTACTACTGTGGTGGCACCTACAGCTGCATCGTGCTCATTGGATGCCAGATCTGCCTCCTCCTCAGTAGCCCCTGCTGTGCCTTCTCTACAATGGCCTCTCAGCATATAGGAGGCACTGCTGGTCTCTTCCCACCCCTAGAGAGGAAAGGGAGAGGGGCTGCCCTCTGGGGTCTGCACCCACCACACATGATTCAAAGCAGCCCCCCTCACGGTAGCCTTTGATTCCCACTTCAACCATCCGGTAAGGTTGATTTGAATCCCTGCCCCAGTTCTCGATCTTTATTCCCCAGTTGTTCCCAATGTAGAGCTCCACTCACTCCTTCTTCCTGAGTGGGTTTGCGTGCGGTGTTGTGGCTCACCTCAGGAGCCAAAATGTCTTGGGCCAGCCCTGAGATCAGGTCCTACCCATTTCTCTACTTCCCAGGTTGTTCACAACTCACTTTACAATTTGCTCCATCTCTCTTCAACATCTCAATGTTCATTCCATCACTGTCTCCCACAATCCATGGGACTAGGGATGGAGGACCTCACTCCAGATGTCAAATAAGACTCTCTATCTGGTCCTCAAAACTCTCCCCAGAACTCCCTGGCCGTCCTTTGAACCCCAGGAGTTTTTGCCTGGCTGGAATGTGTGTTTGAACTCTGTTAATGGCTCTTGCTTGTCTGAATGGAGGCTAGAGAAGAGTGTGAGCAGAAACTAACCTGTGCTACAGAGGTTGAAATCATTAACCATTCATGACCTCTTCCCCATTCCAGCTTCCTACAATCCAAAATGTTTCCCTATGTCCTTAAAACCTCCACAACATATTCTCTCTTGGAGCCAAACAAATACTACTGATAATAAATAATATTTATATTAGTGCTCTTCCTAAGCATGCAAAGCAGTTTTCATATGTGATATCAGTCAATCCAATCCAAATCTTTATTATGGTCATAGACCAGCATAAGGTATCAGTCATCATTACAAATGAAAAATCTGAGGTTGTAAGAGATTGGCTTGGCTATGACTAATATGCAATGAATTCTAACCATGGTGACATTTGAACTTAAGAGATCTGACTTATGGGCCTAGTTTTCATAAACAGTAGATGAGTGATTAAACCGTTTCTGGAAGAAACCATCTCAGGCTGCAGCTGACAGCTCACATGACAGAAAGCTCCCTCGTGAAAAAATATTTTTACACGTAGAAAACTAACTTGTCAAGCAGAAGGATAACCTTTGTCCTGGAACTTAGTTTTCTATATGCATAATTTCATGTGTGTATGGAGCAACATTACATCATAAGATTTCCCCAAGTTTATCTCTTCATTTGCTGTTTGTGATAGTGAGGCTGTAGCTCATGCTTTTTAACACCCGATTGCATCATCTATATAGGTTTATCAGGGGAAAGTAAGCAGAGAATAAGGCCCACAATGGAAGCCTTGGGTCTTTGCGGCAGACTTGATGCAGTAGACCAAACTGAGGGCATCTGTTTACTTTGGATATGGAGATCTTGTTTTCATGGCATGCAAGAAGATAAATTTGCTTAAAGGACACATTGCAAGTTTGCCCATTTCAATTGAGAATACATCTTCTCATTTCTCATATTCAGGGGGGGGGGGGCGGGGAATGTTGTTACCACCAATTCACACTGGGCTTTACACCAACCACATCACAATACAGAGGAATTACGACTCCTCGTAATGTATTCAATATATGTAGAATCTTGTTTCCCAGGGGTGAAAACCTGAGGATTCGTTTTGAAGAAAGCATATTTCCAGATAACAGATTGGCAGTGTTAATTTGCAGTCTGTACAGTGGTACCTTGGGTTACAGACGCTTCGGGTTACAGATGCTTGGGGTTACAAACTCCGCTAACCAGGAATTGGTTACTCCAGGTTAAGAATGGAAATTGTGTGCCAGCAGCGCAGCAGCAGCAGGAGGCCCCGTTAGCGAAAAGCGCTCCTCAGGTTAAGAACCGTTTCAGGTTAAGAACGGACCTCTGGAACAAATTAAGTTCTTAACCCGAGGTACTAAGCATCAGAGAGGACTCATTGTTTTCAACTCTCTCATATTCTGGTCACTTTTCCAAGTCTTCCCTTCCTCTTTGGAATGGCTCCGATCAAGCTCCATGTGTTCCCCCCTTTAGCTTCTAGATCCAAATTTGCTGGAATAGTCTTACCAAATCCAGGCCTTCAGAGGTCATCTCTAGCTGTAAGTGTTGTGCAAAAAAGGAAAATATCTGGATTTGAACGTTCTGCTTATAGAAGGCGGGACGAGTCCTGTCAGTGAAAGCTTTGCACTACATGCCTTTCCCCAAAATTGCTTCTTACGGGGTCAGGAGAATCCCCAGAACAGTGTACAGGGGGAGGAGCTCTGGGATAATTCCATTTGGCAAGCCAAAATGCTTACCCTGATGGATAGAGTTCAGAACAGGCATATTTGGATTCTGATGACCAATACATTTTCCTGCCTGAGGCAAAGGACAAGATGGCACCTCCCTGCACCACAAACACCCCCAATTCAAAGTACAGTGGTACCTCTGGTTGCGCAAGGGATCCATCCTGAAGTTCCGGTCGGATCCCGAAGAATGCGCAACCGGAGGTGCCTGTTCTGCGCATGCGCGCAGTGCGGTAGAGCGCTTCTGTGCATGCGCATGGCACATAGAGCGTTTCTGTGCATGCGCGTGTGGCGAAACCCGGAAAAATACTCTCGGGTTTGCCGTGTGAGTAACCTGAAGGATATGCAACCAGAGGTGTGCGTATCCAGAGGTACCGTATTTTTTGCTCTATAAGACTTACTTTTTCCCTCCTAAAAAGTAAGGGGAAATGTGTATGTGTCTTATGGAGCGAATGCAGGCTGCAGAGCTATCCCAGAAGCCAGAACAGCAAGAGGGATTGCTGCTTTCACTGCGCAGCAATCCCTCTTGCTGTTCTGGCTTCTGAGATTCAGAATATTTTTTTCCTTGTTTTCCTCCTCCAAAAACTAGGTGCGTCTTGTGGTCTGATGCGTCTTATAGAGCAAACAATACGGTACCATTGTACAGTACAAAAGCTGACTGGACAAGGAGCTGAATCTTATGTCAACATTGGCAATAGGTCAGCATCCTGTGCCACACATCACCCTGATCTTCAGCAAAGGGCAAGGGCTAGGAAGCTCAGAAATAAAAGCTGGAGGGGCAGCTGCCATTTCCCCCCTCCCCCCAGCATCTGCCACCTGAGGCAATTGCCTCACCCTGTCTAATGGTAGGGCAAGCCCTGCTGAGGACACACAGCCTTGGCTACAGGAGTGTCAAGGAAGCCCTCGACAGCTGTTTACATTTAGCATTATAATGGCTGTTACTGTACAATGGTACCTCGGGTTAAGTACTTAATTCGTTTCGGAGGTCCGTACTTAACCTGAAACTGTTCTTAACCTGAAGCACCACTTTAGCTAATGGGGCCTCCTGCTGCTGCCGTGCCGCCGGAGAACAATTTCTGTTCTCATCCTGAAGCAAAGTTCTTAACCCAAGGTACTATTTCTGGGTTAGTGGAGTCTGTAACCTGAAGCGTATGTAACCTGAAGTGTATGTAACCTGAGGTACCACTGTATTTGGAACAGCACTTCTCCAGTGAATGTTGATGTGAGAGGTTAAAGTATGAAGGAACCAAATATGGTTTAACAGATTGGCAAAAAGGAGGGAATATATACTTTTTTCTGCTGAAAGAAAGTGTTTTATTAAGTGGCCAGTGAAGTTATTCGGAAATATGGGGCGAAATCTAACCTACGTTGTTAAACAATACCATGAACCACCTGAACTGCAGGAAAGAACTGAATCTTGTCTGAGTTTTCACCTAAGGTCACAAAGTTGGTTGTGGGTATTTTATGACAAATTTGACTATTCTGAGAGAATTGTCGCCAGCATCTGTGTCTCCAGATGAAGTGTGCTGGAGGTCCCTGTACAATTTAAAATTAAATGAGATTCAATTGCTTCTCGTTGCCATGCTATCATGTTTCACAATTTACTTTGTAATGAAAACAAGAAATAGTATCACAGGTTATTAAGTGGGGGAAAACTCTTTCAAAATCCCTAAGTTTATTCAAATAGTGTTTGAAATCCATATCCTTTGAGGGAAAAGATTTTCAGATCAATCAATGGCACCTTAAATTCACAGAAGAGGAAACGTGTTCAATTTATTAAATCAAAAGGTCAGTTCCTGTACTGAAGTTCTGCACTGCATAAACCCAAAATAACACTTTGATCATCATGACTTCACAGAGGAAACCTCAGCCAGCAAAGGACCTTTTCCAGCACTGAAAGTACCTTTGGCTATGCCCAAGATCTGAAGGGAACAGGAAGTACAAATCTTGTGCTTCCTTTCTCCATGAAACATAAACCCATTCAGAAGAGAAATTTTATATCTTCTGCGCTTGGGAGGTTAAAACTGAATTCAATGAGTTAAATTCATGGTCAGCCTTCAGAGCACTGTTGTCAAGACCCT